TACCTCACCACCCCGAGGAAGTAGACCCGATTCACACGCCGAAAGTAAAAGTCGGCCACTGATGATGTTGGGGTGTGAAAGTCCAACTATGGACCGGTCCATGCAGGCACGGCAGACAGCGCGGCTCCGCTGAGCCCCGGGCTCCCGTCAATGAAATGTTAATTGGAATAGAGAAACCGCTCGTCTATTGTGGCCGGGCTTTCTCCCCGGGATTTGGGCTCTTGACTTGCCAGCTTTCCGGGATCGGGCAATCTGAACCCGAAGGTAACAAAATTTTTTCGTGCCGGAAGACGATGAATAGTTTTATTTTGTATACTGAATTTTATTTAAAGAGATACTTAGTATAGGCTACGTTTGGATCCTTTAAGAATGCTTTTTGGTGATTCCAGCTTGTTGGCGGTTTGAAAATGTACCCAGCTCTCATCGTAGATCATAGCACTGAGCTAGCCATACAGCTGGAGGTAGCACTGAATGAGAGAACTGTAAGACGTTGGCCGCCATTTGTACTAGGGGATAAAGTACATTGTGCTTAGGAAATTTGAATCACTTGGGGTTGTTGTATTGTACATTAATAAGCCAATGAGCTGATTCCCCTAATTGGTACCATCTTCATAAATAAATCTTATGTATTAGCAAAACGGGAGTGCCGATGGAGACCAGGTCAAGTCCCTTCAAACGCACGCACCCCCACAGGTCTCCATCGACACTCCCGTTTTGCTAACACTGTACAGCGTCTCGATTTTCTAGATAGGTTGTCGTACCAGTCAGGGCTACCAATAAATTGTTTCTGAATGGCTTCTAATAAATGGTCCTATTTCCTATAGAGCCTAGCCATAGAATCAACTATGGCATAGAATCAAGCAGTAAAAAAGCTATATTGGGAATCTAACTACATACTGAATTAATCCCAACGGTGCTACAATGTTGCGTCCCCGTGTTATTGCCAATAATGGTTATCAATGCAGAAAGGTTATGTATGACCTCAGCAAAATTATAGAACCCTAAAATAATCTGTTTTTAAGCTTAGTCACGAAATATCACGAAACAAATTTATGTTTTATATCATCTTGAAAGTGGTTTACTGTAATTACACTCATTCGAAACCCTTAATATTGCATGGGGTAGATAGACGATGCGTATCATTGAGTCGAGTTGTGACACGCACACATTTATTTTTAGTCTTGAGCAGATATGACAAAAGAGAGGTTCACTAACACACTGAGATAGTGGCAATTTGACACCCTGGCCTCATACCAAGATTAATATAATTGATGTTTAAATTGGACTACAAAAATAAATGTTCATTATCTAACATTTAAACGTTTAAAATTATAACATGTGATGCACAAAAGATATGCCATAGTCTGCATGAGTGAAGTGCAGAATATGACCATGACTTACAACAGTGTACACAGTGTGTAGCCTATACCTGTGTAGACTTTACATACACAATACAACACAAACCTATGCAGGCGGACAGTTTTTTGAGCTGATTTATGAGTACGCTGTTTTGTTTTTTTATTCTCTCACTTTTTTTTTACTGTAGTTTATTGAAGTATATCAAATAGTGTGGAATTAAAAACAATAAAGTAGTGCATGCTTTATTTCAAGCTACGACACGGAACACCTTATGGTGCAGCATCTCAAGTCTGCACATTTAAGGACTCGGCACATCAAAGTGCAATGTACACACGATTAATTTTGGTTTATTGGTCGGGTCGGGGTCGGCGCCGTTTGTGACGGTGCTGCACTCACGCGGCTGATGCAGGAACTGATAGTCTGGTCGTGGCACGAGCGTCGAACCTCGAACCTCCGAAATATCACCCGACACGGCGCAGCAGCACGACGCACGATCATTGTATACCGTGGCGGAGTTTGTACCGGAGCTTATATTGCAATGCGAGGTCGTACACAACTATTTCCAAAGCTGAGTAACGTCAGCTGTTTGATGGTTCGAAACTGTCATCAGTTGCCCTTGATCATTAGGGGTTTTAAAATAATTATCCTGGATAAGAAACAGCTGGTCTTCAGTAACAAAGCTATACAAGGTAACTCCATGTTTCATTTTTCATAGCTGGGTCCAAATACGCCCATTTACATTTACACTCCCATTGGCAATAGCTCAATTCCAAAAGAGATAAAACCATGAACTGAAAACCTGGCTGGAATTTTAATTTCCTATACGTATTTACAAGTTTTTGGAGCAAAGATGGAATCATAACAGTGAATTTCAGTTCTTGGCTCGACCACTATATGCCACCTGGACCTATGGGGATTTTTACTGGACAAGTGATATTCCCTCAAATCCATCGTCACCATGAGTGATACATATCACAGTCCTAGGGCAATCGAGGAAGTACCACAAAAGAGGTTAAACAGCCTCATAACTCAGATTTTGGTTACTACTGAAGTCTGCGTGAAGTATTCAATTTTGAGTCATGCCATTTGCCATATTATTTAAGTGATTCGTTGACTCTCTCTCTCGGTTACAGTATGCCCAACCCCCAAGAGTGCCCAAAACGTGCGCTCAGTGACCAACAACACCGTTACATCAATAACCGCTATAGATGATGCAATATCAAACCTTACTCTTAATCTGTTAATTAGCTACTCTAATATAATGTTTTTTTTTTTCAATTTTCCAAATGTAAACCCGTATTATAAATGTAAATATTTAGAGGTTTCGAACGTGTAAAAACCTGAAATGAGGAATTTTAAAAACTTCCTGGACTTTCCCGATATCTAAAGTTTCCAACAACTTATTATTTAATCACAAAAGGGTTAAACCTCTGTTTTACTCATGTAGGTAGGCTATAACGCGTGCAGAAACAGGTAACATTGATACTCCTTCCAATCGCAACTAATATTCTATAGCAGAACCCATTTTGTGACTGCATAAAGAAGACTGTTTATAACAAGATGTGTTGATAACATAATCACAAAATGTGGAGGTAAACTGAAACTAACCGGGTTTTATTGTTAGTTACTGATATTGATTTTGAAAATATTAGTTTTGCAAAGATGTAGAGCGTGGCTAAACAAGAAATAAAATATATGATCAAAGATGTTATTAAGTAAAACCAAATGTAAACGTGTAGATTTTCATTAGCTACAAAACTGAAAAAGTATAAAAGTCATAGACGATTACACTGTTATCTTACATTTAAAATAAAACAAATAACGTGTATGAAATAAGTTAAATTTGAAAAGGTATGTAAAACACGTTAACTCCAACCAACAAGGGCAATAAAGTATCTAAAAATAAATAAATACCTTTTGGAAAGTGGTATAAGCCATATCTTTAATACAAATTAAAATTTATTTAAAATTATTTAAATCAATCAACATCTTATTCATCTGTATGTACGTTGATATAACAATGTGATGCATATTTTCGAATCATATCCTTGATATAGCAAGATATACAATAGTTTCGTTGACTCTATCTGTTTCTCGGTAAGCTGTACCATATCTGATATTAAATAAGGAAACCGATTCCCTGAAAATGAAAAAGAAACGGTGTAAGCAATCTAAAACATACTTTCTCTATTAGCTTGTCAAAAATCCTTATCATGACACATAGGTAATTTAAAAAAACCATATTATTGATGTATACAACTTACATTGAAGGAGGCATTCATTTAAAAGTAGTGTGAAATGTTTCCGTCAATAAACTAACTCGAAATGCTAGTACAAAACAATCTATATGACCTGTGTGGTACCCTGCGCCATGCAACCCAATACCAATTACAGTATAGTACAAACTGGTGTCAATTGACAACATCTTCTTTAGCTATCAGAGTGATGTTTAAAATAGCTTAGGTATTAGCTATGGGAAATTCACTACAAACATCAAAAAAACTTAAGTTATAGTTCAGTTGTATTAGTTATTCCAGGATTTTTATCGTGTCAACGAATTTTGTTTATGATCTAGTTTGTATGATGGAACTTGTCTCTAGACCGGTCACCCAGGAGACTGTCCACAGGCCCGGGCCTTATGGATAGCCCAATGTTGTTTTGTTACAAATTAATTTTGTATAAGAAAGTTGGATTATTATTAACTTGTTTGACAGCGAGTTTGATTATTCACATATCAATATCTTTCATAAGAATGTGTCCTGTCCATACACAGAATTATGGTCCTTTTAAACAACCAGGTTCTATTGATTACTAAAAAATTTATAGTTTGGCACTATTGTCAGCACCTGGATCACCAGCCACCACTCGTCTACGCCTTCTACAATGCTGAGTTGCTGATGTGGAGTTTGGGTGATGATTTCAGGAGCGATTTGAACATGTTTAAACAAAGGACAGGTTCAATCACCGTCATGTCTACAAAAATGCGATTCCCTTTATTGAAAATACCACTGTACAGAAATAATACCCTCGCCATAGAAAGCCTGCAGATTGCAGACCAGAGTGCTAATTTCCATCTGTCTTATTGTATTTTTACTAAAATAATCCCTTCTTGTTAGATTTATTTCCTCGAAAACATTACATTTAACGAGTACTGAGTTTCATAGCTACGTGGAAAGAAAATTTGTTTTTGGTAGGCCTACGTAAATCGGCCCCAGGTCTGATATAGTTAAAATGAACCGACAGTCGACCAGGAAGAGGGAAGAGATCTATGAAATAGCCTACTACCACAGACAATACGGTGTGAATCCACCACACACAGTTTCGCAGTGGTAAACCAGAGCGCCCGACAACGTATCGATGGCCATAATTATGCGAGGCGCAACTCGCGGGTATCAAAGCCGGTCAATATTAAGGTCACAAGCCCAAACTGACCCTCGTGCCGATAATCTCCAGATGAAATCCGAACGTAGATTTCGATTTCTACTACGAGAGGCAGCAAGCCCCGCCCCACTCCCAGATTATTATACAGATTTCATTCACAAAACGCCCCCCTACCCCCGCCATGCCGGGGGGCTAGGGGGGTGCGCGTTTTGGAAAGTAGCCGGTTCGGTGCGCGTCAGTCAGTCCGCGTTTGTCGTTGACCATGTGATTCTCGCGCTTCGCTTCGGACGATGATATCAATAAGGCACATGTGTAAACGTTGGTTCTTCTTCCTCTCTTTGGCCACTGCCACAGCAATTGCAGGTAATTAACAATGCGTCATATTTTTTTCTGTAAAAGTAGTTTTATAAAATTGATTATGTACTGGGTATACATATTTTGGTTGACTAAAATTTTACACTATCCACCAAAAAAACCGTTGTTTTCAAAGTTTTTGTTTAGAATTTTTAGTTACAACAATGTTCTAAACATTTTGATTGCAAAATATACTGCATTCTAAGCTGCTTATAAAGGGATAATATTGGTTTTTAACGCAATTCTATGTTTCCATTATTTCCTTTTTTTAATTTAGTTCTTCCTACACTTGTTTATAAAGGGGCCGAAAGACAGTATATAATATTTCAAGTGTTAATAAGCTATTTAATGAAGTCTTTATACTGAATTCAGTGTTCAGAATAGTGAATCCTTTATAAAGTTTTTTTATTCGCTGAGAAACTTGAGGCAGGAATTTTTGTTGTAATTTGTATGTTTAAGGTTTATTTATTTTTATTGCCAATCGGATTTGTGGTGCTGCTGGTGCTACCATACATATTAGTCCGTGCATAAATAAAGATGATTAGATTTTAATACTATTACTTCTGGAGTTCTCAGAGATATTCAATGAAAGGGTTTATTCTTATTTTTATCCATCGATAAAAAGTACTGAATCGAACTTATTATCTCGCGATTCTATACACGTTGATAAACGGCCACAGTTTATTTCTACATGCGAGTAAAACCAAAGAGGTAACCTTTATATCTGCTAAATAAATATTTATCTTTATTTTGAAATGTTTGTTTGTATAAAGAATCTCTTGGGAGCATAACCTGTACCTCTTAACCTCTACTCTTCAAACTGTCAAATTTAAGTATTTACAGCTGACTTAACATTCACATTCTTTCAAAATGTAAACATGGAAAATTTCGAAGCCCATGGGGCGTAGCCCAAGGGAAATATGAAAATTAAATGATAGAATATTGCATTGTCATCCATTTGTGAGCTATGTTTCAAGTTTCAAGTCTCTAGCTCATCGGGAAGTATCACAGTTTGCAAGAAAGCGAGTTAAAATAAAAACAACCCAATGGGACTTAGCCCAAATTATATAAAAATTAAATGATATAATATTGCATTGTCATCCATTTGTGAGCTATGTTTCAAGTTTGAAGTCTCTAGCTCATCGGGAACTTAGTATAAAATTGATTGCAAAATTTGTACCGTACAAGAAAGCGAGCTAATAAAAACGTTTTAAAAAATGACACCAAACTTGATCGAAGCAACGAACATCACTGGTAAGTTTAATGGAGAAATAGTCTTAATCCCAAGAATAACGATGATTTCATCCAAATTACCCTTTAAATTTAACCTACTACAATTTACTTTTCGTCTTGCTTTCGCAATCACCATTGTAAGCCACAAGAGCAATCCCTATCGCCGGTTTAAATTTAGAAAATGCATGCTTTTCACACGGACAGCTGTATGTTGCGTGCTCACGTGGTGGTAGGTGTATACAGCTAATGATAAAACATTGTTAATCCACTGGTAATTAAGTAAAAATAAATATTAAATTTTTGTTTTTGGTATACATTTTTATTATTTATTGTTTCAAAGAACAAATTACCATTCAAAATAATAGTTCTTAGTGCAGCAACGTGCCCCGGGCAACTGCTAGTACTTCCATAAACAAGACATATTTATTCCCCATTTAAATAACGTTAGATTTAAGGAGTGCTTAGGTTTGCTGCTACGGGGAAGGGGAAAGCGTTTTTAATTAAATGTTAATTGTATAGGTTAAAATAAATAAATTTGCCAAATTTATTCCAATTCCATTCTTGAACAAGAAAACTACAAGCGTTTTCCATAAGAATAACATAGGATTCAAAGTGTACAGATTTTAATTTTATCGTTAACCTTTAATCGTGCAACTACACTTGCTTTACACAATAATGTATTCGAATTGAAATGAAAATCGGGCATTTCCTTGTTTTACACCTTCAAGCCAAATTTAATCAAAATCAGACAAAAATTACTTAAGTAAACGTGTTCACGGACATACACACATATTCATGATATACATATATAACATTTTGAACTAATAGTGTTTTTGGCCTCTGCGGTCATCAAAATGAAAACGTAAATTGGTCTCGAGTCTAAGTCTTACCATGCCAGCTACGGTATAGCTACTTCCCCATAGGGAAATTCGCTAAAAATAAGCTATCTATTAAAAGTATACTAGAGGTCGTTCAGTGGTTGAAAACTCGACCAAAATGTGTAATGTACAGACTTCTCTATTTTCACCTCACAATGTAAATAAAACATGTGATTGGAATTTCTTCAATTTGTTTTTATTTTCTGTTTATGTTTTGTTGTTATTTCGTCACCAGCTGGTAACCCATAAGACTTATGTTAATATTTTTAAATTTTAAATTCATTTTTGTGCTAATTTCTGAGCCTATTTTAATTTATAAAGTTATTCTGCACATCTACAGGAAAATATCTTTCTAACAATATGCGTGGATTTTCCCTGCGATGTACACAGCTGAGAAAAAAGGTTTTTAAGAAACATGATTGTCTATTAATATAGAGAAATCATTCAGTTTTTAAACTACTGCATTTTATAAACCAAACTCGTCTATTGCTTCCTTGGCCTATCGTTTACCGTTATCCTGATTGTACGTGGTGAACTTAACTGATTGCATTAACGAATTATCAGCAATACAATTAGCTGTTAGTTATCATTTAAATGGGTAAAAACGTTAATCTATAAAAGTTTATCTCGTCATCTCGAAAATATTTAGTTCTGGTCACTAACTTGAAACCCAAAAGGCGGGTACCTACATATTTTTATATGATTTCCAAACGAAACGTAAATCATAATTAATGTTTGTCGCAACAGTTTTTTATGTGCATCCAAGTCACAGCAACTACATTATTCTATTAATACATTGGTTGAAAAGTATTAAAGTATTAATTTTGCAAGAAGATTCAATATTTTAATATTTGCTCATACTTATAATTAATTATTTACAAAGCAACCATCATTTATAATTTGGAGAAAATAATTAAAGAACAACTTATTTATTAGTGGATTTGGAATTAGTAATCACGTTTCTATTTCACAGTAAATATTCTCTAAATGGCCAAGTACTTTTATAAAGGTGGGCTAGAGTAAGTTTAAAGAATTTAACTATTAATTGTCAATGTCAATCCCAATAATATATACCAGTTTGTTTGTTTTGATTTAACCTCTAAATTTGACACGTATGAACACATGATCACACTACAGACAAAAATGTTTAGCTTCAAAGATATTCCACCACTCCTATTAGTCCAGCAGCTGGCTATACTTTAGTGTGCAAACTTACGTATACTCAAAACTCTTGCATAACCTTTTAAGTATTATGTCTAGGGAGTTTAAAAAACCTGGGTGTTTACCTCCTAAAATTAATTTATTTCAAATACTAAACTATAAACATTTTACAAAAACACCTTTTTACCCTCCTTTTTGGGGTCACCGGAATTTTACCCCCCTGGAATTTTACCCTCTGGGCAAAGCTGACGTCACTATGACGTAGTAATCTGAGTGGCCAAAAGTTTGTTCGCGGCCGGAATTTTACCCCCGTGGATTTCGAAGTCTAATGAAAATAGTCAGAGCGTGATTAATTCAATTAGCGATAGAAACCGGAATTTTACCCCCTGTCCATATAACTAGTGTTTAGACAACTGGTATGTACGGGCCGGATTTTTACCCCCCGGACTTTTACCCCCCGGAATTTTACCCCCCGGAATTTTACCCCCGGAATTTTACCCCCCGGAATTTTACCCCCTGGCCGATTTTAGAAATTGAATGATTGGTTTTCTTATTTCTGTTTTTAATTAATTGTAAACATTTCATTATTTAGTGGCGTATCTTTATTTATTTATTTTGTAATCTCAACTAAGTCAAACGAATTCGCTGTTTAATTTTGATGTTCGGGATTTGCCTTTGGGGCAAACTGTTGGTTAATAAGTATGGAAATAAGTAATAGGCCATGTTAATAAGTATGAAAAACAATGTATTTAGATTCAGTTGTACAACAACCTTCTTGTTTCTTCAGGCACAAACCATACTTGAATCTCAAAATTAAAATTAAAAACATGTTGTATTAGTTAATGTCACAAATAAATTAAGATAGGCTACTTAATAATAAAATGTTTACTATTAAATTAAAACAGAATGAAGATAATTAATCATTCTCACTAATTTTTATATCTAGCCAGGGGGTAAAATTCCGGGGGTAAAAATCCGGGGGGTAAAATTCCGGGGGCAAAATTCCGGGGGGTAAAATTCCGGGGGTAAAATTCCGGTGGGTAAAAATCCGGGCCGTACACTCTAGGTTTTTATAATTTGATGTGTTCTGATTAAATTCACAACCGTGAAAATATATGTTCAATTCCGCGTTCAATCCATCGAGCTGATGTCGCGAAACTCAAAAGTTCGCGGCCGGAATTTTACCCCCTGGTTTGTGACGTCACGTTTGCCCAGGGGGTAAAATTCCAGGGGGATAAAAATCCGCTACCCCCCTTTTTGCAGCAAACCTATAAGTACTCGACAAACTAATGCTTTTAAATAAGGAATAATTAATAAATGTATTTAGTGTAAATCCAATTAGGCAAAAGGAAATTCGCTTAGTCTGCAGGTTTGCTGCGGCAGGGGTATTATATAGTGGGAACATCCTTTGAGATCAATTAAATTGATCTATTGTGCTTTTATTTCCATAAAAGGGGGGTTATGGTCATATTTTAAGTAAAATAGGTGGTGAAATCGTAACATGTAGCCATTTTGATGACGTCATAACCGGAAAATGCATTGTTTGCAAACGTTGCACCCGAGTTGAAAACACTTCTTTGGACACCTACATCGACATTAAATGGTAAAACTTTCTATACACAGCCCAAGATGTCGGACTAATATGTTTTTGCGAAAAAATTAAGTGTTTTTGTGAGATTTATCTAGTTTCTTAACGTAATATTTTGAGCAAAGCATATCAAATATGGTAATTTTGTA